TCCATGGCCCAAATCTATCCTTAAGGTGAGCTTTGGCTGCGTTTTTCTGGGCATCATCTACAATTTCCTGGTCATTATCCGTTGTATTACCTGTAGGTGCAACGTCCTCCATAGTCTTTGAAGCAGATTCAGTATGTTGCTGAGCTTCTTGACCACAAGAATCGGACTTGTGTCCATATTTTCCACATTTGAAGCAAATGAGATGGATGCCCTCATACTCCACTGGATACTCTTCGTCCTCGATTGTGAACTTGGCAAGTAGCTGCTTGGTGATATCGATTTCAACACAAATGCGAGCAAATTTTCCGCGGAATGCAAGGCACGTTGTGTCATCGATTTTTATTGTTTTTCCGATCTTGTCACCTAGTTTGATTAACGTATCTTCATCAAAATATTCAATAGGAATGTCCGGAAGTCTTACCCAAACACAAATCTTCCGTGTTTTATTCGTTTGTGGTCTAAAGTTAGGCATCCATTGTTGAACAACCAGGTAGTGATCTTGAATTACCCATGGCCCTTCGCATCTTGCTATGTCGTAATCCCTCTGCAGTTCAAACCTAGCCAAGAAGTAGTCATGTTCTAGATCAATTAGTTCCAACTGACCTTCTGGTTTCCAAAGTGAGCGGAGGCGCCGGATTAGGTAGTTGTATCCGACCGATTTTCCCATGAGTTGGATGATAAGCGTTCTGCGCCATGGCCTTCTGATTCTGATCTTCTCTTCCCTTGTCAGCCTAATTTTGGGGCATTCTGGGTCATCTTGCTCGTCGGAGCCCTCGTCATCTCTAGTATCTTCGTCTGCACCTTCAAGGTCATCCTTCTTGTAGGTCATGAATTTCCGCAGGCTCAGCTTGTAACTTGCAGGTAGGGGTGGGTTCGAGGGATTCGTCTGGTAGCTTCCTTCCTGGTTTTTCATCGTTTCCGGTCCTGTGTCTGCGTTGGGATTTGTGCTTGTCTGAAACGGAGCCTCCGGGGCAGTCATTGTGTGGTGTAGACAGCGGCGTTTCTACCTCGTCACAAGATCTCTTCGACTTCTTGGCCAATCTTGTGTTCATGCTTGAGTCTGGACCCTCCGGCGATTGAGTCGTCGCCGTCGCGTCGATGTCTACGGTGGGCGTTTCTTCTAACATGGTAGCGTTTCTTGGAACGTTTCTTGGAGCGTTTTACACGTTATAAAAGAGTTAATGCTAGAAATGGTCATTTAATAATTTTAAAATATTAAATTTTTTTGCAATTATAATAACATTTAATAAAGAAAATGACAGAAGAAACTTGAATTTCTAATATTACCTATGTAATTTGTAATCATATGAGTAAATTAAATAACAAATGCATGGTCAAAGATTTAAGTTTGTCTAATTAATGGTGGATGCCTAATTATAGGAATTTAAAATAATTAGAAAATGATATTAAATCCTTAATAAAATTAAGACAAGATATCATCATTATTTGAAGAACCGAAACTAATCCAACTAACATGCAGGTTAGATGACCAAATCAATTTTTGATACGTATTTATATTTGGTTAGTAAAAGAGTTAAACCAAATTGGGTTTAATTAAATAACTACTAAACTGATATGATTGACCTATACAACTACTACACCCAGTCATGCCAAGCTCAATTCCACACAACTCTAAGTAAAAATAGTGTAAAATGCACTAACAATACATAAAAATATAAGACTACATACTCTTAAAACTCCTTAAAGACTACTTTTAAAAGATATTTTGGCCCTGTTTTGTAAAATAGTTAGCCTATCATCCAATTTTGACATGTTTGATCACTATTAGTTGTTTGACTTGGTTAAACAATCAATATGAGTGTTTGATTAATTAGCTTTTTGTAGCAGTTTATTGTTCCACAACACTAAAATGCAAAAAGTTGTCCAAAGCAGTGTTTTTTTATTAGTTTTTTAATTTGAGAAAGTCATTTTGTAAATAATTAACTTTCAGTTAATAGCTAATTTACCAAACATCTTTCTACAATCCGCTAATGTTATCAACTAGTCAAACATACTAACTCAATCAGCTAACAATCATAAACTAACAACTATTTACCACCCACCCCTTTGTCAAAATTCAAGTAATCCTCTTTGTTTAGAAGAGTTATTCAAGCAAAAGAGAACTTAGTTTAAAAGAGTTAGTTACATATATTGAAGATGTTTTTTTTTTAAAAAAAAAAAAAAAAAATTATTGACAGAAGATCGTTTATGGTGAATAAAAAGAATTTTTGAATTTCTCTCACCTTCAACTAAATCATCTAGATTAAGTGTGTAACTCAGTCATACTTTTCCCTCTCTTGAATAAATACCACACCAACTCTAGTAGATGAGAATTGAAGATTGTTCTTGATAGTAGTTAGTTGGAAGGTAAGCATTATATTACAAGGATAGCTAAATCTATATATGAAGAAAGACTAGGCATGCATTGAAGTGTAAAGAGACTTGGGTGATAAAGAAAGGCGAAGAGGAGCTGATGAGAGAGAAAATTAATTCCAATAACAACAGAATACGGATTACAGAGAGTATATCCAACTGAAACTCTAAACACTTCTAAGAGATAGGATATAATATAAAGACTAAGTCTAATACCACACATTACTACTATAGACTATACATTATTAATTAATTACAATAATAATAGTAACACTCACAGAGCTGAGAGTCAATTAGATCATGCACATCAGGGGAGAATGTAGGGAGAATACACTATCTACTTTCAAAAAATCTAATGCTTACATAGATGAGAGATAAAAAAGAGAGAAAATTAGGGAGCAACTGCAAGGACCCGGTTAATGGCAGGATGGTGGGACCCAGCTGGAAAAACAACCAAACGTGACAGCCTTGTGTGGCTGTCATGAGTGCACCCAGCAGGCGTGTCAGGTGCGCCTAACCATGATTATTATATTATTTTTTTAATTTTGAAATCAGTTTTTGTTTTTGTTTTTTTCTCTTCCCTTCTACATTCTCTTTCATATTCACTCTTACAATAATCCCTTAATATCCCCAATTGATATTGATGCTCAATTGATATTGATGCTCTTAATGAATGAACGAACCTTGAGCCTAATAATCTAGAAAGTAACATTTATTTTATTAGCTAGCTAGACTAGGGATGGTTCATGGCCGGTTCTAGGTTCTATATATGAAATAATAATTATACCATACCCCATTAAAGCATCATGAAAAGATCAGAAAGAGAAGTTTTGACACCAAGAAAACAAAATAAAAGCATTCCCTTGTAATCGAAAAAAGGCATACTTTTAGAAACCTATAGTTATTGAGAAAATAGATAGTAATACATTGTGTTCATCATGAATAAATTAAGAAATAATGTTATATAAGATAGTCACCTAATTAATTTAAAATTTTTTCTATCTAAATCCTTTAAATTGGTTAACTCTTAATTTAAAAAAAGTTGTCCCTAATCTCTTTAAATTGACAAAAAAGTGAATTAAATTTAAATGCTACATATTCAACAAGTTATCACTAATGTGACTAACATATACGGAGTACCTTTTTATACTTACGTGGATGTTAAGTGTACAAATTCTATAATACACCAAAAAAAAAAAAAAAAAAAAAAAAAAAAAAAAAAAAAAGATAGTTGTCGGTTGTTCGCAAATACAACGAGAACAGCGAACCATGGAAGGTCCAACCTCAAAGACGAAGGTATCTATGGCTTCCATATCTCAAGACAATTATAGCAATTTAAATGGGAGAAGAATTATAGCAATTTAAAGATGGGAAAATGGCACTTTTTATCCCTTTGTTATATACTTATAGCACTTTTTTCCCTTAAATTATTTAAGTGGCAGTTTTTCCTCCTGATATATTAAATGGACATATTTACCCTTAAAACAAATATTTCATTTATTTTTCTTCTCCAACAAATTATAACCACGATTTGAAAAAATAAAATACATTAAGTGTTGAATTTAGAATATTTTAAAAATAAAAAAAATAAAATTTTAAAAGAAAGTTTGAACCAACCGTTCAAATTGGATCCAAAATCGTGAATAGACGGTTCAAAATAAAACTCAAACCGCAATTATATATACTTATATGTGAGAGTCAATATAAATGCGGAAAAAAACATACACTATTTGCAAATATTATAATTCTAATTTAAGCTATTGTTGGTAGTTGTTCTGATTTGAACCTCCGGTTCACGGTTCAGGATCCATTTTTTTCCAGTTCACGATTTTAATAAACGGAGACCCAAATATTGGGTTATGTTATGAATCATAACCGAAATTTTTTAATTTGATTGCTATAGTGTTTGATTCAGTTCGAACCGAACCGTGGTCATCCCTACGTATAAGCAATAATTTGTTGAAGAAGAGAAATAAATAAAATATTTGTTTTAAGGGTAGAAATGTCCATTTAATATTATTAGGAGGAAAAACCGCCACTTCTATAATAATTGAGGGGGCAAATGTGAATGCATAAATAACTCAGGAGGAAAAAGTGCTATAAGCATATAACACAAGGGGAAAAAGTGTCATTTTCCAAGAATTTCAAAAATCTTTTTGAACAGTCATGAATATAATTAGCGAATATATAATGGCTAGTTATACTTGTGTTGTGTTTATGACTAGTGTTTTTTATTTATATTTTCAATTTTTTGTTCAACAATGATTATCCAATTCTTCTAGTGACTAATATCAGACCAAAACACCATTATCTTTGAAAAAGGTAAACTTAAAAGGTTGATTAGTGCCAAATAATCAAGGATAAATTGCTGAGTAGTATATATGTATTTAAATCAACCCATATCAAATAGTCAAGGTTAAAATATTGATTTCAACCAATTAATTACTAATTAAATCAACCCATATAATTCTCTCTCATTTATCCATGGGTGACACCCTTTAATAGGTTAGATATACTATTTAGTTGCACCTTCGCCTGTTTGATATCTTTTATGTTTATCCTTCACTTTGGTATTGCTATATATGAGCCGTAGAAACTTCATATCTGGATTCTGGATTGCATAGATAGATTAGGGTGGAAATCATCTTAATTATTATTGCACATACATACATAGTTTGCCCAAGAAGGGCATGCATAACATAATTTACGTTCATAATCAACCCAAGAAACTTGTTTTCAGTTCATGCATGCATATCACCAATCCAGCAACTAATTAATAAAACCCATTTTTGCAGGTGATTTATTCAACCCGAGGCTGCACTCATGGCAGGGTATATGCTGCAAAACACAAAAAAACACAAATCAATCTTCAGTATGTGTATATAGAACCAACGATGGAAAAGGTATATAAAGAAAGTGTTTTGACCAATCAATCTAAAATCTTTTTTTAGTAGTCATGGGGGTTGATTCCCGGCCACTAAAAACCTGGAGAGTCATTAGGAAACTTTAATTAACCCTCAGAATTAATGAAAACTCATTGTGCACAAGAAGAACTTGGAGAGTCATTAGGAAACTTTAACCCTTCAAGGGCGTTTGGTTGAAGGGAATTTAAATTCCCTTCCCACTTAATTCCCACCTAATTCCAAAGGCCACAAAATTCCCTTGTTTGGTTGAAAGGAATTGCAATTCCATGGAATTAAAATCCCATGTCACCCTTGGGATTTTAGGAAGAAAAAAAAATAGTGATGAGTCAAAATTACCCCTTCCTTTTTTAACCTAAAATTTATGTCTAACAATAACAATGGACATTTTTAACTTTATACTACTTATTCTCTTTCAATTCCCATGTATACCAAACATTGGAATTGAAATTCCCAGTAATTCTATTCCTGTAAACCAAACACTGAAATTTAAATTCCCACATTATTCCCAGTAATTCATCTCCCATGGAATTACAATTCCTTTCCCACGTAATTCCCCCTCTCCAACCAAACGTCATGTCAGAGTTAGTGAAGACTCATTGTGCACAAGAAAAGGGACTGAGACACAAAGTTTAAGTCAACCGTTATATCGTGCACCCCAAAACGACGTCGTTTTTTATGTTAAGATTTTATGTGTATTATGTTAATAGTTTATGTGTATTATGTATTATGTTAGATTATGCGTACTATGTTCTGAGTTTATGATGTGCATTTTGGTATGAGTTTATGTACATCCGAAACATGGTATTTTAAAAAAAAAATTAGAAGTTAACAACACAAAAAATGGAATTTAAAAAAAAAAAAAAATCAGATGCAAAACAACGTCTGGCCATTGTGCGCCTGGTGTACGATATAATTTGTCAGTTTAAGTGGAACGGGCGGGTAAAGTCGTTGGATTGTGGGTTTCGACCCACCCACCCGGTCCTGCTCCTATTAGTTTGGTCTAAGTTGGGAAATCTAATGTATCAAAATTAAAAAAGAAAGTGATGATGAGGGTGAAACTCACGTCCGCATTTGTAGCCGATGGGGCGGTTGGCGAGGTTGCAGCGCTTGGGGATGGTAATGCCGGCTTCGGGCTTCACGCCGGAGCTCTTGGCCATGTCGGAGAAGAGGACGGCGCAGAGGCAGCCCGGGTTCTGGCTGAACTTCTTCACCTGAAAGCAGCAGCTGCTGGAAACCGCCGCCTTCGCGTCCTGCGCCGCCGCCGCACACGGCAGCAGCTTTATGGCCTCGTCGTCTGGAGATGAGTCCCCGCATGGCCCCGCCGCTTCCACGCTCACTGCTCCTAGAACACACACCATAACAAGAAAACCAACAAAAACCTTCAATGGTGCCTCCATTTTTAATCTTTAGATATATATATCACACTCTACACCGCACTGATATGATCTGTTCTCAAATCGCTCGTATTTATACTGAAAAAAATGGCCTAAAAGAATCATTGTTTTGGGCACTAAGTCGTAATGGATAGAGCACTCGAGAAATCACATTACTTTTATTAGCACCATATCCTTAGCATTTTTTGGGGTGGATTTCTATTTTATTTTGGTATGCTCTAGATGCAATTATTTGGATGATAATTCTTTCTAAAACGTTGAACTCCAACCCTAAGGGCCTCCCATGCACACCTCGGTCTGACAGAGCATTTGGGAGATGTAAATCATGGTAACTCAACTGAACATGAATCACAATTATGATAAGTCATGGATGATAATTGATTAGTGGGATGGGAAAAGTTACCAAAATAAAATGCTAACGGGCATTTGGTTGAGAGGGCATTAGGGTGAAAGAAATTACAATTTCCTAAGAAATGAATAAACACTACTGGAAATTATGGAATTTCCGATCACCTGAAAGTGATCTTAAATCAAATCTAAAGTAAAAAGTGGTCGGAACAAGGCTTTTGACTTCATTTAAGATCATTTTTAGGTGGTGATAATAAAGTAGAAATTTTTATTGCTTGGTAAGTAAGAATAGAATTATTTGTCAAGCACATTGTACTCAGATGTCATGTAGTGATTTCTCTCATGTGGGAGGTCATGAGATCGAGCCTTAGTGGAGACGTTATTGACACAAGTATATTTGAACAGGGTGTTGTTGACACTGTGTGCCAGGGGAGGAGAGTTAAATCCATATACCATGGACTAGGGTTTACAGTGCATTGTGGACCCTAGCTGGTGCATGTGTCCTGTGTTGTGAAATTTTGTATTTTAGGAGTATGAATTCTATGCTTGAAACAAATTAGTAATTGTATTTTAAGTTATGAATTTTTATGTCTTGTATTGTAAAATTCTGTGCTATGAAGGCTATGAACACAAATTATGTACTTAAATCATGTGTATATGTTTTATTCTGTAATTTTTTGTCTTGTGTTACGAAATTTCTTTACCATACAAATATGAATTCCGTACCTTATCGTTTCGATCTAAGGTCCATAATACTATGTAAAATTTGGTCCATGATATAAATTGCCATTGGGAGTTTCATGTGTACCAAACGGAATATAAAAGTTTTAGGCATTATAAAGTCAATGTATTTGGTTGGTAGGAAATATGTACTTTACCAAATACAAATTTGGTAGGTGGTTAATTCAATTTTCAGAGTTTCGGATACTTGACATTGTAAACTATAATTCATAACTCTATAAAATTTGCCAAGTAATTTTTAATTCAATGAAATCTTTACGACTCGGAGCATTGACTCTTACATTGCAAGAGTCAGTAGCACTCATAAAAACCCTTATAAAAATTTTTGGTAAGAAATATAGAGTTATTAGAAAATTTTGAGAATTCCAATTAGATAGTGGTGTTTTGTGTCTGAGATGAGGGGAACACAAGATAATATTATATCACATAAATTATAAAAGATCTTGTATAACTATAAAGGCTGAGCTCAGTTAAGAAGAGTTGGCAAGAATCAAACTCCTGATTTTTAAGTAAGAGAGTCATGTTTCACTACTTTGTAGAAAATTGGTATTTTTATAAATAAAATAATAATTTGATGTTTCTTATTCCTTTCTATTTATAATAATCAAGCTACATTTCTATATTGGTTTAATAATGTGATATTATTATATTATTCCATACACATTTAGGTGTGAATGGCATAAGTGGAATCCTCCTTGGAAACCAAGAGATAATGAAGTGCTTACTATACGTGTCTTATTTTCATCATACCATTATGTTCAATATGATATTGAGTTTTGGTGAAGATAAGTTAATGGGTTGCCAATGTAAACAAGGTTAAGCTCTCTAAGTTGCTCCACTCATTATTTTTTCATACTGACGTAATATGTATGTTTAAATTTTTTTTCAGTAATAAAATCAAGGTGTATAACTACTACAACCCATTTTATGTACGGATAACTATAATATATTAAATATTTATTTTTTCAAAATTCAATTTATTTTTAATGTATTCACTTTTAGTACATTTAAAGAACATTCAGTATACTAAAAATGAATATTTATTAGTGATACACGATATAATTTACCCTAGTTCCATTACTACTTAAAAAAAAAAAATTAAACTTTCACAAATTAATATCAGGACTTTAAACAAAATTTCACTCAACTTTAAAATTCCTAGTATTAATATCTGAATGTAAATGGAGTAACAAGATGGGCATTTGGTCTAGTGGTATGATTCTCGCTTAGGGTGCGAGAGGTCCCGAGTTCAATTCTCGGAATGCCCCATTTTGCCATTTTTTCATCACTGAATGGACATTTCCTTTATTTACCAGTTTACAGTTTTACCAAGATGGGCATTTGGTCTAGTGGTATGATTCTCGCTTAGGGTGCGAGAGGTCCCGAGTTCAATTCTCGGAATGCCCCATTTTACAAATTCCTCTGAATGGCACTGCTCAGAGAGCTTGCCCCATTGGACCATCTAACATGAAAATGGCAAAACCTCTGGCTGATTTAAAAAATCACAGGAACATATATATTTTTGCTAAAAATTGGCTGATACATGAGTATACATGAAATATACACATCTTTATTACACGTCCTCTACCACATACCTATTATTATCAAGAAATGGCGACGAGAAAAGGAATTAAATAATATAGTACCATTTTTAGTCAAGTACACTTAACACTTCTGTATTTGAATCAAAAGAGCATGCCTGAATGGCTGGAAATGCTAGCTTATATAGTAAGAGGATACATCACATAGAAACTTGTTGAGAAGCTCGGTTGGTTTCAATCCTCCCCCGTTGAACCAAGCGTAAATGGGCTGATAACTTCTCTCGAACACTCAGAAGATCGAACTGATTCTGGGGCTGATATTTCGTGGGAAGTGCTGGACAAAGAATCAGATCTTCTCATATCGTTACTAAAGTCCTTACCTTTGGAATCGATGCTCAGATAATCTGTCAAGATCTTTTTCACCCCAAATCCTCGGTGAGGGAGCTTGGTGCTGTCGAGGAAATGTGATCTTTCTCTTTCTCTTTCTCTTTCTCCCTTTGCAGGACTGAAACGCTGGGAGGGTGAGAAGCTAGGTGTAGAGAAAGCGGTTTTGTATGGAGTGAGGGGAGTCCCTGCACTCTTGTGAGCTATGATGCCTACTTTCGATATGGGCACGAATTGATCAGAATGTTTAGTCAAGTCATCCACGTAAACAAGGTCATCTATACGTGCCACGATGTTGAAAGCCAGACTCTCTAGAACTCGGGAGTAGCTTTCGAGTATGGATTTGCCAACATCCTATGGAATGAGGTTCAGTTAGCACGAATTTCAAGTTTCGACTACCTAAAAGCAATTGCAATAAGTCTAACCTTGTTATATTGGATCTTGCTCATGTCTAAAGTGGTCTGGGGAAGACCGGGAAACCGTTGTTTCAAGCAAAGCAGAAGGCTTTCAGCTCTATCAGCAAGCACCTCGTGTTTATCTCCATCAATCACCAAATCTTTAACCATTTCCCATGATGTCTTGGAATTGGATCGGTGCGTGTTAGGTAGGGGTTTCGAGTGGGTTTTTCTGCGCCAGATATAAATCGAGGCCTCCACCCGGTTGGCTATTTCCAGTGCTTGATGCTCAGAAGACAAATCAATGCAGCCAAGCAAGCATTCGGGCGAGAATTGATCAGAGGTGATATAGCGATGGATAAGATCACCTAAGCTCGCTTTGCCATTCTGTAATGAATCCACAAGTACAATGAGTAACAATAACGCGTTTCGTTTCTAATCGAGTAATATTGGCTCCATACCTTTGGGAGTGCTTCCAAATACGATTCGGGGATGTCCATTTCAGCCAAAGCGTTACTGTTGATGGCCATTGCAGCTTTCAGGATTTGGTTCGTGCAGTCACGCCTGTGCTGCAACTGTTTTCGTGCTTTTTCACTGAGACCCGAAGTGGGAACTCGAGGAACTGGCAACCACCATTTCTCCTCTTGGCGAGGGAGGGGGTTCCTAAACGACGATGAGCCATCTGCTTCCGGGGCTAAGATGCCTTGGTCCACATACCAGAATTCTGTGTTTTCAAAAGTGTCCAAAATTTCCTGCAACACAAGGCTACCAGTCAGATACACACACACACAATCGAAAACAATAAATCAGCCAAGACAAGAGAGAATGCATATCTTACCAGAAGCATATTATCTAGTTTGCGTAGAGCTGGTAGGTTGACATAAAGATCTGATCGCGGTCTAGAGGTCATGACCTATAACAACCAAGCAAAATATGTAAACACTTCATCATCAAATTAAACAATAGCAAATAGGTGTTGGGAGAAGGCCCGTGAATGGCCAAATCCAGCACCAGGTGGCTAGGGGATTGCTAGGCGGAAACCTAAAGGGCCAAGTCCAGCACCAGGTGGCTAGGGGATTGTTAGGCGGAAACCTAAAGGGCCAAATCCAGCACCAGGTGGCTAGGGGATTGTTAGGCAGAAACCTATAGGGTTAAGTCCAGCACCTGCCTCTCGAAAATGTGACGGGGCAATATAAGGAAATAAAGTTGAGACTTTGGTACGAACTATAACTTTTGTCGTAGTGTTAAGCATTTGATCCTAACAAGTGGTATCAGAGACTACCTCAAGCTTGGTTCCATCTGGAAATGTTTGCCAAGAGGGTATCAACTCCACAATGTGATCACTAATGCAAAGCAGCCATTCCATTTCTCTTCTCCACATTAATTTCTTCTCATGAGGCAAAGGTTCTAATCTCCAAATTTGTCCAAAAAGTGTAGCTAACAGAAGCAAAAACAGCAATTTTAGTATCACCAATTAGTCCATATGAAAGAAAGAGGGTAAAAGAGAAACAAACTAAACAAAAATCAAGCATACCACAAAGATTAGTAATGGCATTTGAGATAGCCAGTGATGTACAGACCCCATTGCCACAACCAGACATATCTTCTCCCAACAGCAATTTTGAGAATCTTTCTTTCATCATCTCAACATCTGCAG